TTTGAGTTCTTTAAAAGAAGATTTTTTAAGTTTTTAATATATGCATATAGAGAAAATCTATGACCCCCTGGGGCGGGGCCAATTTTGACCCCAGGGCTTTTATTTGAACAAACTTGGTAGACACTCACTAGAAGATGTTTCATGCCAAATATCTTAGCTCTAGCTCTTTGGGTTCTTTGCAAAGAAGATTTTTTTAAAATTTTTACTATATGCATATAGGGAAAATCAATGACCCCCTGGGGCCGGGCCAATTTTGACCCCAGGGCTTTTATTTGAACAAACTTGGTAGACACTCACTAGAAGATGTTTCATGCCAAATATCTAAGCTCTAGCTCTTACGGTTCTTTAAAAGAAGATATTTAAAGATTTTTCTTTCGGTTGCCATGGCAACCAGAGTTCTGCATGGAATTAAATTCTTTGGACAATTTTTAAAGGTGACCACCAAAGGAACATTCCTGTGAAGTTTGGATGAAATTGGCTCAGTGGTTTATGAGGAGATGTCATTTAAAGCAAAAGTTTACGGACGGACGACGGACGGACGGACGGACGCCGGACGAAAAGCGATCACAAAACCTCACCCTGTCACATTGTGACAGGTGAGCTAAAAATCAAATCAAATTTCCTTATTTGAAAATCAGTTTCATTGCAATGCAGGAATCCTCTATGGAGCATTTTTTTATTTTAACATTTTAGGTGCATTAGTCCCTTTTTAAATTTCTACTAGATATTGGAATTGAGGGACAATCGTTTACCAGAATATGAATATTCTCCACGACAAGGAACAAGTAATATACAAGAGGGCCATGATGGCCCTGAGGTCGCTCACCTGTATATAGCCCCCCCCCCCTTTGGGCCAATTTTTACCCAAGGGCTTTTATTTGAACAGACTTGGTAGACACCCATAAGAAGATGTTTCATGCTAAACATCTAAGTTCTAGCTCATTGGGTTTTTTAAAAGAAGATTTTTTAAGTTTTTACTATACACATATAGTTAAAAACAATGACACCCCTGGGGCAGGGCTAGTTTTGACCCCCGGGCTTTTATTTGAACAAACTTTGTAGATATTTACTTAAAAATGTTTCATGTATAATATCTAAACTCAAGCTATTTGGGTTTTTTCAAAGAAGATTTTTAAGTTTTTGCTATACACATATAAGGAAAATCAATAACCCCCGGGGCAGGCCAGTTTTTGACCCCAGGGCTTTTATTTGAACATACTTGGTAGACACCCATTAGAACATGTTTCATGCTAAATATCTTAGCTTTAGCTCTTTGAGTTCTTTAAAAGAAGATTTTTTAAGTTGTTACTATATGCATATAGGGAAAATCAATGACCCCCTGGGGCGGGGCCAATTTTGACCCCAGGGCTTTTATTTGAACAAACTTGGTAGACACTCATTAGAAGATGTTTCATGCTAAATATCTTAGCTCTAGCTCTTTGGGTTCTTTAAAAGAAGATTTTTTAAGTTTTTACTATATGCATATAGGGAAAATCAATGACCCCCTGGGGCGGGGCCAATTTTGACCCCAGGGCTTTTATTTGATCAAACTTGGTAGACATTCACTAGAAGATGTTTCATGTCAAATATCTAAGCTCTAGCTCTTACGGTTCTTTAAAAGAAGATTTTTTAAGTTTTTACTATATGCATATAGGGAAAATCAATGACCCCCCGGGGCGGGGCCAATTTTGACACCAGGGCTTTTATTTGAACAAACTTGGTAGACACTCACTAGAAGATATTTCATGTTGAATATCTTAGCTCTAGCTCTTTGGGTTCTTTAAAAGAAGATTTTTTAAGTTTTTACTATATGCATATAGGGAAAATCTATGACCCCCTGGGGCAGGGCCAATTTTGACCTCAGGGCTTTTATTTGAACAAACTTGGTAGACATTCACTAGAAGATGTTTCATGCCAAATGTCTAAGCTATAGCTTTTACAGTTCTTTAAAAGAAGATTTTTTAAGTTTTTACTATATGCATATAGGGAAAATCAATGACCCCCCGGGCCGGGGCCAATTTTGACCCCAGGGCTTTTATTTGAACAAACTTGGTAGACACTCACTAGAAAATGTTTCATGCCAAATATCTTAGCTCCAGCTCTTTGGGTTCTTTAAAAGAAGACTTTTTAAGTTTTTACTATATGCATATAGGGAAAATCAATGACCCCCTGGGGCCGGGCCAATTTTGACCCTAGGGCTTTTATTTGAACAAACTTGGTAGACATTCATTAGAAGATGTTTCATGCCAAATATCTAAGCTCTAGCTCTTACGGTTCTTTAAAAGAAGATATTTAAAGATTTTTCTTTCGGTTGCCATGGCAACCAGAGTTATGCATGAAATGGAATTCTTTGAACAATCTTGATAGAGCTTCATACAAAGAGTATTCCTGCCAAGTTTCATTAACATTGGCCTTGCAGTATCATAGAAGATGTCCTTAGAATATTTAAAATGTGGACGGACGACAGACGACGGACGCCATTTGGTTGGCCATCCTAAAAGCTCACCTGCACTTTGTGCAAGGTGAGCTAATTAATACAAATGAAAGCAGATATAAAACAAAATCTTAAACTGATATCACAAAGTTCATATTTGGATCTGAAATAGTGCATGTGTAACAAGAGGGTCATGATGGCCCTGAAGTCACTCACCTGTATATACCCCCCCCCCTGGGGGGGTCAATGTAAACCCCAAGGGCTTTTATTTTATCAAACATGGTAGACATCCATTAGAAGATGTTTTATGCTAAATATCTAAGCTCTTGCTCTTTAGTTTTTTTAAAAGAAGATTTTAAGTTTTTACTTCACACATATAGGGAACAAGAGCTGTCACCCAAGTGACAAATGCTGCCAAAAAGCATTATTTGACTCGACAAATCGTCTCTATGTTGTAGACATTTATGCCAAGTTATTCTTAAATCCTTCAATGCATGACAAACTTACAGCCCGGACACTATTATATGTACCTATTAATTCAAATTGTGATAAATTAAATGTGAAACTTCCAAATGATAGTGTGACCTTGACCTTTGAGGTAGGGACGTGTTTCTTGGACGCGAAACAACATATTGATGTGGTAGACATTTAAGCCATCTTATTTCAAAATCCCTCAATGTATGACAAAGTTACAGTCTGATCACGATTGAAGTGGGGACGCACAGTTGGACGGATGGTCAGACAGACGGTGCGATTTTAATATGACCCCCAGGCGGATCCAATTTTTAACCTAGGGTTTTTATTTGAACAAACTTGGTAGACACTCACTCGATGGTGTTTCATGATAAGTATCTAAACTGCAGCTCTTTGGGTTTTTTAAAAGAAGATATTTTAAGTATTTACTTTACACAAATAAAAGGAAAATAAATGAACCCCCATGACGGGGCCAATTTTAACCCAAGGGCTTTTATTTGGTAGACACCCATGCATAGTTCTGCATGGAATTAAATTCTTGAACAAATTTTAAAGATGACCACTTAAGGAACATTCATGTGAAGTTTGGGTAAAATTGGCATAAAAATACGCATCTTATGTGGAGCCCTTAACCCTTTCGCTGCCAGAGGGTTATTGTTTTATTGATCACCTATTTGCCAGAGGGTTTTCTAAGAAATTACTATATTATTAATTAATATAATTATTATTATTAGTTATTAGTATTTTAATAATTATATATGTTTCCAAATCTGTGAGTATAATAATAATTATTATCGATGGTATAATTTTCTTTATATTTATTATTATTATTATTATTATTATTAATTTATTATTAATACTATTATTATTATAGAAACGGCTAAAGCCGTCCATATGGCAAATACCCAGAAAATAACAGGGACAGCATAAGCTGTCCCTATGGCCGTGAAAGGGTATGGGGGAAGCACAGTCTTTCCGAAAGACATTCGGACCGTCGGCCCTGACCGGTAAAAAATCAGAAGGTCCGGTAAAAATATATGTATTGACGGCCCAACGGTCCGGTAAAAAATTAAGGTTTTTTATTAAAAACCTTACATTCAACATTTTGCAAAGGCCAATCATTTACCTAAATTCAAAACATATCAAAATATTGTCATTACACAATATAAGCTCGTGCAATGCTTGTCAACTGTTATGCATTCTCATAATGCAAACTTTTATGTAACTACGTAAGATAAAAATATCCGACATCTAGTACAATTAAAAGTCAATAAGCGGCCGCGTAAATTACATAAGCGGCCCAGATGTGAAAGGTCACCGGCTATTAGTTTGTTTTACACAGATGAAAGTGTCAGTGTATTAATTGGAACAATTTACGTCTTTAATCCACAGACTTAGAGTAATGCTTAATTACACGTGTGCTCAACTGTTTAGCTATGAAAGATCGTCCAAGATGTTGACAAAAATTAAACTATACTGTGAAGGTACCAAAATCATTGAACAATTAATCTGTCAACTTCACTAAATTACCGATATACATGTATATAATTCTGTTTACATATGCCAGACTTTGCTGAAATTTACCCTCTCATTTTGCTAGTATTTAGTCTGTATGGAATTAAAGTTTAAATAGCAAAATCCATTGAATACATGTATAACAATATTTATGTTTACATTTTGATTGTGGTAAAAAAAGATAACTTCACATTGTTGATAATATAGTTTTCTTTTTGTACACAAATTTTTTGACTGCTGACACTTATCAAGTGACTCAAAATGCTATACCAATCAGGTTTTTTTCGGTCCAGTAAAAATTTTCAGTTTACAGGACCTACTGTCCAGTAAAACTCAGAAGTCTTTCGCATAGACTGGAAGCAACAGTTCCATAAAATAAGTGGAAGTTAGTTCCTGATATAAAATTAAATGGTAGATTCACTCGTTGCCATGGAAATTTAATGTTTGCTGGTTGCTATGAAATTTTACAGTTTGCTATGAAAAGTCAATGGCTGCTATAAAGTCGCTGATTGCTATGGAAACTTAGCTTTATCTCTTGTAGATTCAGGGAAGAATTGTTTTTAAATTGTTTTTCATTTAAACATATAAGGTCAATCGATGTAACCCCAGGGTGGTGGTGGGGCTATAATTTAAACAATTTGTGTAGAGTTTCATGTGACAAAGTTATATACCAAATATCTAAGCTTCTGTAGTATAACAGAAAATTTATTTTTTCTATTTATAGATAAGGGGAATCATTTTCCCCCCTGCGGCAAGGCCAATTTTGACCCCCAGGCTTTTATTTGAACAAACTTTGTAAACAACTCCTAGAATATGTTTCATATTAAATATCTAAGCTAAAGCTCTGGGGTTTTTTTTAAAGAAAATTGTGTGTGTGTGTTTTTACTACATACATATAAGGAAAATCAATGACCCCCATAGACATGGAATTTTTACCTCATGGTTTTCATTTGAGCAAACTTGGTAGTGACCCACTGGAATAAGTTTCATGCAAAATATCTAAGCTCTAGCGCTTTCTGATTTAAAAGTTTTTTTTTAGGTTTTTCTATTGGTTGCGATGGCAACCAGAATTTAGCATTGAATGGAATTTTTTTAATCATTTTAAAGGGCTTCATGCTAGAAATATTACTGCTTAGATTTAAAATATCAGCATATTGGTATAAAAGATGTTAAGAGTTAAACGCCATTTTTTGAAGGATGCATGCCGGACGCAGAGTGATCACAAAAGATCAACCTTGAGTACTTTGTGTTCAGGTGAGATAAAAAGTGGATAACAATATGCATCATGAAAAAACAAAGCTTGCTAACCTCATTGTGTGCCTTGACAAGCAAATAATACTGGTTTATACAAACATTAGTTATCTTAAAACCATTGCTGAATGCAATACGTGAACTGGTATCTTAAGTGGAAACAAACAATAGCTAAAACATTTTACCTCTTTTTGCTCTTCCATTATTGTCTCAAGAATAGTAAATTTCTTTTTTAAATCTGCATGTTCTTTCTCAGCCTCTAGTTGTCCTTTCTTTTCTTCAGAAATCTGTTTCTTTAAATCTGCAAGTTTGTTTTCAAGTTTTTCAGTCTCAACTTTTCCCTCTGAGAGTTTATTTTTCAGGTCCTCATATTCGTCTTTAGTAGCAGCATTTTCCGTTAATTTCAAAACTTTTGACATTTCTTCCTTGATTTGCCCCAGAATATCTTCAAAACCTTCAGTTGTAATAATGAAGTCCTTCTTCTTCAGCTGATGAAAAATAACAATTTTGTTACAATTTCTTTAAGACTACATTAGCTATGTGATTTTTAAAATTCACTCTTACATATATCATATTTTAAAGCAATATCATTTTATTTAAAAAATACCTCAATTGTTCTTTATGTTAATTTTCACACTTTTCTGTTGCATTCTTAAACTTTATAAGAGAGTGTGTTTTATAGGTATCTGGCTATCAGTCTCCATTTTTCATTCTTCTGTTATTGTCTACATATATTTCAATGCAACCAGTATTCTTTTAATAAATCTCAGTTTTTTCATTTCACACTTAAATCAAGGATTTGACATGCCTGACAAGTTTAGATTCTAATAGGGGTTTAGATATATAATTATGGTCACAGCTAAATGGGAGATACAAACATTTTGCAGGTTTTTATTATCTCAAGTATAATAATCATTCACATCCCTTTTCAATGTCTGGATATTGGAAGTAAATTTGTATTGCTATAATCCAAATTTTATCACAATATCAGAATTCAGAAGTCCTCAAAAATTCAGAGGTATGAAATATATTGAATTTCGGGACCCTTAAAATTGTTCGCATTTCAAAGTTTTTGGAATTCAGAAGTTCTTTACAAACAAAAATCTCTTTTGTTTATAATTCAACATTTAATAGGCACATATATATTTTTATGTGACTTTATCAATTAAGGTAAGGGGATTATTTTTTGAATTTGACTATACTTTACCACTTCAAACCCTGTTAACCTAAACTTTGTCCTTAATTAAGTGATATGTTACAGTACAGATAACGAGGAATATGCAAATTTCTCTAAGTATCAAGTAATCTCAAAAAGCGTGACTCCGAGTGGATTATAAATTTCTTGTACACAAAAGAGTGACTCGGCGTCAATAACGAGTGACAATTAGGTCCGTGGGACTCCGTGAATCTCCGAGCCAAAAAGAGTGACTCCGAGTAATGGTTTGCTAGATATTTATTCATTTATTAATAATATTTTTATGCTCTATCTCTAAACAAATATCATTGAACGCATGTATTATTCATTCAAAATAAAAATGTTGTCGAATATTCTTCGTTCATGATGTAAAGTATCACAAGTGAAAACAAAAGTAGACAACTTGATTCATTAATATCAAAAGGAAAGATTATAACCGATGATTTCCCACACCGATAAGTGTCATATTTATCAGTTCATAAACATGTAAACATACCGCGAGGTCAGTGTATTAGACTGTGTCACTGTTCATATCAATTTTTCATTCAGGGGGGGAAGTTACGATCTAAACCAGTCAATGACCCACAAAAAAGTAGACTGTGTTGCTGTGTTTTGAGATAAGAAGTGATAAAACGGAAGGTCTAGATGGAAAACCAAATGTGTATTTTTACATTCTTAAAATAGAAAATGCTAAATTTAGACTGCAGATTCCAAGTCATACTTTTCGTAAGTTTGAGCCAATCGTGATTTTCTTGAGCCAATTTAATTATATTAGCAAATTGGCTCCTGCCAGCGTGAGCCCTGATGGTTAATTGAAAACAACAACCGTAACAAGAGCTGTCGGTAGGACAGCAACGCTCGACTATTCTTAGTGCTTGATAGTAAAAAATGCCTTGATTAAAAGGTAAAATTTTCTAAGTAATGCAATAGGCAAAATTTTTCTTTAAATCCATATTACAGTTATAGGCCTTGGGGAGAGTCCTATTATGCTCTCAAAGAAGAGTATAAAATTTCAACATGTTTCAAAGCCTTATGTCAATGAATTTTGAAAATATTTGAGGTATTACAAAAACTTTAACATAAATTCTAAGTCGAATTAGGGGCATAATTCTGTCAGAATGCTTGATAGAGTTACCTCCTCCTGTCTACAGGTTGGGGTCATGATGGTGAACAAGTGTGCAAAGTTTCAAAGCCATATGTCAATGGACTTTTAAAATATTTGAGGTATTACAAAAACTTTATCAGAATTTCTAAGTCGAAAAAGGGGCATAATTCTGTCAAAATGCTTGATAGAGTTACCTCCTCCTGTCTACAGGTTGGGGTAATGATGGTGAACAAGTGTGCAAAGTTTCAAAGCCATATGTCTATGGACTTTGAAAATATTTAAACTATTACAAAAACTTTAACATAAGTGGTTACGCCGACGCCGACGCTCGGGTGGGTGACTACAATAGCTCTACTTATTCTTATCGAATAGTCGAGCTAAAAATCATCTTTATTTTCGAATCGTAATATAAAATGAAATGTAAAATGAGATTGCACTTGCATTTATTTACACCAGCTAGACACCGACATGGAGTTACGCGGTAATTCTCTCTCGGAGTCACGCGCTCTTATTTTCGTCTGGGAGTCACTCTCATCACACGTTTCTCACGCGGAGTCACTCGTTTTTATGGACAAATACTCTCGCGGAGTTGCGAGTGGATTCCTCGATCCTCCGAGGATTTTGCATATTCCTCGTTATCTGTACTGTATCTTAAATCATTATAAGTTAACTCCATAAAGATTTCAAACTGACACAATTCATTATTTACACTTACATCTTGAAGTTTCTTCACTGCTATCTGGGCATCTGATCGGTGTAATAGCTCTTTACCATCTTGTAAAACTGCTATCATATCGTCTAAGTAAGTATTTGCCTCACTTTCTTCTAATTCCATGCTGCCTGAGTGAAAGATAGCATTTCTATAGTGACGAACCTATTGAATAAAAAACACAGTTTCAACATTATTATATGCATAAATATACAGTGATTAGCAAATCAAAATTGTTTTGTAGAAAATTGTTTGGGTACTTACCTACATATAAGATGCTATCATGAATTATACAGGCATTTTTCATATATTTTACAACAAGAGCTGTCGGTAGGACAGCAACGCTCGACTATTCTTAGTGCTTGATAGTAAAAAAAATGCTTGATACAGTTACCTCCTCCTGTTTACAGGTTGGGGTCATGATGGTGAACAAGTGTGCAAAGTTTCAAAGCCTTATGTCAATGGACTTTGAAAATATTTGAACTATTACAAAAACTTTAACGTAAATTCTAAGTCGAAAAAGGGGCTTATTCTGTCAAAATGCTTGATAGAGTTACCTCCATCTGTTTACAGATTGGGGTCATGATGTTGAACAAGTGTGCAAAGTTTCAAAGCCATATGTCAATGGACTTTGAAAATATTTGAACTATTACAAAAACTTTAACGTAAATTCTAAGTCGAAAAAGGGGCATAATTCTGTCAAAATGCTTGATAGAGTTACCTCCTCCTGTCTACAGGTTGGGGTCATGATGGTGAACAAGTGTGCAAAGTTTCAAAGCCATATGTCAATGGACTTTGAAAATATTTGAACTATTACAAAAACTTTAACATAAGTGGTTACGCCGACGCCGACGCTCGGGTGACTGCAATAGCTCTACTTATTCTTATCGAATAGTCGAGCTAAAAATGTCACATGGCAAATTTGGGATAATTGTGTCTTAATTTTCTATTCGAACAAGAGCCAATTGAACCGGGTGATGATCCCCAAATAGGTTTTGGACACAGAAAGGTATACCTCTTGTAGTGTCAGAGTTATTTTACAGACAAAGTTCAAAGTGTAAAAACAACCCAAATATTGCGCACGACACATTGTCTCAATATGGCGATCATTTCTGTGAAAAAGTTGGAAAATCCGACTTCAAATAACAAAGTTATGGGCTGGACACGATTTTGCTGCAAGGTCATGCTGTGAGCTTCACCTTCAAGGTAGCGCCCAAATGTTGCACATGACACGTCGTCTAAATATGGTGATCATTTCTGTAAAATAGAACTTTGTAAAATCAGACTTCAAATAACGAAGTTATGGGCTGGACAGGATTTTCCTGCAAGGTCATGCTGTGACATTCACCTTCAAGGTAACCACCCAAATGATGCCCACGACACATTATCTCAATATAGTGATCATTTCTGTGAAATAGTTTTAAAATCTGACTTCAAAGAACAAAATTATGCGCCAGACACGATTTTGCTGCAAGGACATGCTGTGACCTTGACTTTCAAGGTAGTGACCCAAATGTTACATGCGAAACGTTGATTCAATATGGTGATCATCTCTGTGAAATAGTCGTTAAATTCGACTTCAAGTAACGAAGTTATGGGCCGGACACGATTTTGCTGCAAGGTCATGCTGTGACCTTGACCTTCAGGGTAGCGACCCAAATGTTGTGTGTGACAGGTGTTCTCAATATGGTGATCATTTCTGTGAAATTGTTGTAAAATCCGACTTCAAATAACAAAGTTATTGGGTGGACATGAATTTGGGACGTATGTACGTCCGGACGGACATACCATTGTTACTTTTGATGTTTATGAGGCAAAGCAGCTCATAAACACCACCTGGACCAAAGTCCATAAGCAAAATAAGCTCATAAAAACAAAAAAATAGTTCTTAATTTGAATTTTATGAGTTTTTGTTCTTTATTTAACTACGAAATGAAGCTCTAATCAAATGTTTGCTCGGACTGACATGCGGACTGACGGATATTCTCAAAGTAATTATGTGGCTACTCTATTGTTCTCTCTATTGTTCTTTTTAGCCACACAAAAGAAAATAGCCACATAAAAGCATTACGGAATGAACTAGACCTATCACTGAAGGTGATTAATACCCCACCAGCAACTTTGACTTTTGAAAAAATAAGTTGTCTGAAGAAAAATTTGAAATAAACCTACAGAAAATAAAGTACCATCAGCACTGTGTACAAAGAATTATTTCAATTTATTGCAATCCCAACTAGGATCTTGATATAAGCTTGTTAATACACCAAGTTTGATAACAATATCTCATTCCTAACCCTAGTAATTGTCTGGAAACCATTTTTCTATTTTTAGTAACTGTGACCTTGAACCCAGAGAGTCCAAATGCAATACCAAGCGCGGTCTTCATGTAAGCTTGCTAAACACCAAGTGTGATTACAATATCTCATTCCTAACTTAAGTTATTGTCCGGAAACCATTTTTCTATTTTTAGTAACGGTGACCTTGACCTTGGCCCAAGGGGGGTCCAGATGCATTACCAACCAGGGTCTTCATATAAGCTTGCTTTACACCAACTTTGATTACAATATCTCATTCCTAACTTAAATTATGTCCGAAAACCATTTTTCTATTTTTACTAACGATGACCTTGACCTTGGCCACAGGGGGTCCAGATGCAATACCAATCGGGGTCTTCATATAAGCTTGCTGTACACCAAGTTTGATTACAATATCTCATTCCAAACTTTAGTTATTGTCCGGAAACCATTTTTTCCATTTTTAGTAACGGTGACCTTGACCCCAGGGGGTCCAGATGCAATTCCAACAGGGGTCTTCATATAAGCTTGCTGTACACCAAGTTTGATTACAATATCTCATTCCTTACTTTAGTTATTGTCCGGAAACCATTTTCTATTTTTAGTAACGGTGACCTTGACCTTGGCCCAGGGGGTTCCAGATGCAATACCAACCGGGGTCTTCATATAAGCTTGCTATATACTAAGTTTGATTACAATATCTCATTCCTTACTTTAGTTATTGTCCGGAAACCATTTTTCTATTTTTAGTAACGGTGACCTTGACCTTGGCCCCAGGGGGTCCAAATGCAATTCCAACCGGGGTTTCCACATAAGGTTGCTATATACCAAGTTTGATTACAATACCTCACTCCAAACTCTAGTCATCGTCTGGAAACCATGATGTGGACCGACCGATGGACCGACGGAATGATTAACCGGCCGACAAGCTGACTCCTATATACCCCCAAAACTTCGTTTGTGGGGGTATAATGACATCAAAGAGGAAGAACAGTTACCTATTGTCACTCTAGCCATATAATAACTGTCCTGTGAGTGCAGACTGACGGACAGACAACCCGGCGACTATGTGCTCCCCCGAAATTTTTAGGTGAGTATAAAAAAATTATGAAATTTATCATTTCGGAGAATATGCCAGCATTCAAGATGTTCAAATTCTTTTAACAAAGCTTAATAAATCTTATTGAAACTGATCAGAAATTAAAACATATCGGCAATTTTCAGAACCTCCACACCAAGTACAAAAGGTGTTACCTTTGAAACCATTGAAGAAGACTGGTAAATTTGTATACTTTTGTTGTGAATCTTTAGATTTTCATTTTCAATTTTACTTTGGATGCTGAATATACAGCATTTACATTACAATACAGCTAATAAAAGATAAACAAGACACTTTATTAATAATTTACCTTTGTAAAAAGATTGTTTGTTACTGTGACATCACATCCAATGTGGTTATGAAAATACTGGTTATTTATCATTAGATGTAATAACCCAGTACAATCAGTTTCACCAGCAGATTGTTTCTGCTCGTACCCTGGAGCATTTATAAAACACTTACAAATGCTCCAAGGATCTGTCGACCACTGTTGAGCATCGCTGTTTTTCCAGTTAGGTGAAGGTGGTGAGGATGCATGATGCTGCACAATATAGTCATAGATGGCGCCACATATGTTGTTTGGACAAGCAATTTTGCCCTTAAAGCAACAGTTGCATTTTACTTGCCCAAGAGGACAGACTTTGTTTCCAGCATTCCCAGGTACTGGCTTATGGTCTGGCTTGAGAGTTTCAACTTGACAGCCCCCACATGTCACAGTTGATGGTAGTAACTTTGTAGACCAAATGTTTTGTAAGATATCCTTATGTTGTTGGTCAGCTATGTCATTACAGAATGGTACCAGTCCATCCTTTAAATATCCAAGTCCTAAACCAGCTTTTACCCACTGTCTGTATTTTTCCTTCTCTAACTGAAGTTGATGTGCCATCCTGAACAATCAATATCTAAACAAAACAAAAAACAAAGTAATTTATGTTTATATTTTATATAAATAAGTAAACTGAAGGTATCGGATTGCAATCTAAAGTCCAAATATTGAGTAAATATGATATGTATAGCAGCAACTGCGTTTTTACTTAATCAGATACAGGGACAACAAACTATTACAGGCATGATGGGATTTTTTCATCAGATATCTCCAGTTAATATTAAACTATTATAGATGTAGTAATCTTTGAATAAACACTGGACTGGATCAGTCTTCCCTGGACCAAATAAAATTTAGGAAAAATAAAAAAAAATATTTTGGTATATGAGATATATGACCTGGGCCTGCATATGTGATTATGATTATTACAGAAATTGTTACAACTTTCAATAAACTATAAATACTAATTTACTTATAAAACATGCTGTGGTATTTATCTAATTGATATGAAGCAATTAGGTCAACCAGTTCTATACATGTAAATTTGTTATCTGGACCAATGTAAGTCATAGGTTTCACAACCTTTGAAGATGTTTCTGACACCGGAAGCATTTACTTATGAGCAGTGGGATACAGTATATTTTTCATGTATGTTTGAAAACCCTGTTTTATCGTTGTAACAGATGTCAAATTCGTGTTAAAGTATTAAAATATTTTTGAGTATTTACATGGGCGTATCACATTGGGGACCTAACCCCGCAACGTATGCTCAGGGGCTTCTGTCATTTTTTTCTTTTCCCATTATATATATAACAAGATATGTTTGTAAAACATGTATGTCCCCTATCGGCAGCCAATTAGTCAAAGATATGTTTGTAAAACATGTATGTCCCCTATCGGCAGCCAATTAGTCAGGTGATCAGTTTATTATGACTGACTTTTGACCTAGTGACCAAAAAAACAGTAAGGGTTAATTACTTGGTCATGACTAGTGACTAGAAAATTGTGACAGCAAAGGTTGTGTGCAGCAATTTTATGACAAAGTTGTTTCCAATCTTACCAAAATAATATATGCATCAACTTTATGAATCATGTAGGCCTCATTAATGACAGCCAAGTTGTTATATTACATAAGACCTTGAAATGTGTTAAGCAAAAGAATTTTTGGTTTAATAAAAAAATATCTACCAATGTTGAGTTATTGGCCAGAAACAGTCTTTACATACAAGGTCAATATGACATTGGCCTTTGACCCTAAATCAATAGGAGTTATCTACAGGCCAAGATCAATGCACCTGTGAAGTTTGAAGGTAAAGGGTCAATAAGCTGGGATATTGATCAGAAAACATTGTTACCTATAAGGTCAATGTGATCTTGACCTCTGACCAGTTAACACAAAAATCCATTGAGGTAATCTTCTGACCAAAAGCAATGTATCTGTAAAGCTTGAAGGTCAAGGGTCTATGGGCTGTCCAGTAATTGATAAAAAAATCCATTTTAAAATACAAGGTCATGCAACCTTGACCTTTTCCCCCCTGACCCCAAATCATTAGGGGTCATCTACCGACCAAGACCAATGCACCTTTAAAATTTGAGGGCAAAAGCCCATAGCTTGTCAAGTTAATGATAGGAAACCTTTTTAACTTCAAGGTCAATGCAACCCTGATCTTTGATCCCAAAATCAATAGGGGTCATCTACTGGTCAAGTTCAATGCACCTTCGAAGTTTGAGGGCCAACAGCCCATGGGTTGTCAAGTTATTGATCGGAAACTGTTTTTATCTACAAAGTCAATGTGACCTTGACCTTTGACCCCTTTAACCCAAAATCAATAAGCCGGGGTCATCAGCTGGTCATGTTCAATAATCATACCAAGTTTGAAATTCCTAGGCTTAAGCATTCTTTAGTTATTGATCAGAAACTGTTCACCTACAAGGTCAATGTGACCTTGATCTTTGACCCATTGGGGTCATCTGCTGGTCATGTACAATCATCAAACCAAGTTTGAAATTACTAGACCAAAGCGTATTTTAGTTATCACTCGGAAACCATTTTCACCTACAAGGTTAATGTGACCTTGACCTTTTAAATCTTGACCCCAAAATCAACAGGGGTCATTTGCTGGACATGAACAATCATCAAACCAAGTTTGAAGTTCCTAGGCTTAAGCATTCTTTAGTTATCACCCGGACATCGTTTTCACCTACAAGGTCAATGTGACCTTGATCTTTGACCTTTTAACCCCAAAATCTATAGGAGTCATCTACTGGTCATAAGCAATCATCATACCAAGCTTTCTTTAGTTATCACAAACCGACAAACCGACAGACAAATGTAAATCAATACATGTATACCCCCACTTCTTTGAAGGGGGCCATAATAAATATAACAAGGGATACAACGCAGTATACGACAGCTGTTTTTCTTTTTGATTATTGGACATTCATGTCTAAAAAAAACACTCACTTTGATACATGGACAAGATATTATTTAAATAACATTTCGTGTTTCATTTTTAAACCTTTCGTAAAATTTCTGTTTGTAAAGTTACATGTGTAAAATAATTGTATGCTTACATGTATATAGTATGCTTATATAATCAAGTTAAATCATGTAATTGGTTAAATATCATTCACCCACCACCACCAATGATGCAATCGTTAACTTCTGGTACAAATAATTTTAACATTTTTTGTTTGTTTTGATAATTTCTAATCACCGCTTCCAGTTTGAATGTTGCCATATGTTCCATGTGTAAACCCAACTTTCTAAGTGACAGTCAATTTCATTGGCTAATTTATAATAATAATCCGGATAATATGTTTAGCCGCAAGGAATAGTGTTTCTTTTTCATCAGCTAATGAAATTACTCGCAACATACCTGCATAATGGACGACAATTTGACAACCAATGTAAATGTTGAAATGTTAGTTATTTCCTGCAATGTTACATGATTAATTCAAGAGATTGTAGTATAACTAATAGTTTTTTCCTGCAATGTTACATGTTTTAATGAAGAGTTTGTAGTAGAACTTGAGTAATGACTCATTCATATATTAACTTCTACAAAAACTTAGATGGAATATAGGATATTTTATGCAGTTAAATACACGTGTGAATGCATTTTACAAGCCTGTGCTTGTAATGCGAGGCCACAACTTGTACCCCTTGTTTATATTATATACATATTACGGTTCAGAACTGTTCACTATATAGGGGAGAAGATGTGTAAGCTGCCGGATAGTTCAGTCAGTAGAGCCGCGTTACAGTATTCGGTAACTTGCACTTTCCAGTACCGTCCATGAACAGGCTCAATCAAATTGAGCCTGCAACATTTTCAATTTTGTCGTGTTGGGCTTTCTTTAGGGATTCTGTACTTATTTATTTTCGGACTGTCCCGGGTTCGAGTCCCAGTCAGGCTGCACATTTTGCTCACTCTGTGACATTAGGCGCCCAACGGGGGACTGTGATTGAATACAGCTCAGGGTTTAATTCACATTGTTCTGTGAAATTCTAGGAGGAATTTCAATATAGCAGGGGAGTAATTGTCACTGTTCACTATATAGGGGAGAAGATGTGTAAGCGGCCGGATACAATATTCTGACGGTCCCAGGTTCGAGTCCCGGTGAGGCTGCACATTTTCTCACCTGTGACATACATGTATATAGATTTAATAAAATAAGGACAGATTTTCCTGTGAGCGTCTGTGGCACTTTTTGGAACGTCTGAATTTGGTCAGATAATGGACAAATTTTAGTTACATTATTGTTATATATTGGTTAAATTGAAGAGATTCAGGTCTGTAATAATAAGGGAACGAAGTAATTGGTTTATAATTTCTACTTTCGCTTTCACCAAACACCTTTTGGTAAATTATCAAATCCTAATAAAATTAGTTTCATAAAGTATTCATCAAAATTATGATTTCAGATAACATACATGATTTACAAATGCTTAAATTAAACACATACAGATATGTCAATTAATATTTTTATTGAAATATATTTGTCAAATATAAAAAAATGCAAAAAACAACAACAACAACATGTGTTCGGTACAAAAATTGATTCACGATTATTGATTAAGAACGTATATCGTATATCTAAAATTTGTTACACCTTCAATCTAAACACCAATCTTCATAAGTAAAATTACTACCTCACCATCCACTTCGTTAGCAAATTGATTATTTAGCGCAGTTTATTATCTTCCATCTAACGCAGGAGGTTGCGAGTTAGAATCTTAACCGCAGCGGCAATATTCCTTGTTTCTACTGCACTTGTTCTGAACTGAAAATGTGTTGTAAGATGGCGGCTTGTTTTGGACATCTTGCTTCTAGAATTTGTTTACTTAAAAACTGGAACAAATATGATCCCTCGGAATCACTTATAACAACAACATTTAATGAAAACTTAAAAATGTTTAATTGAGTCTGTACATGAGGGATAATGTAAAAGTACAACGTCATGCATGCCCTCTAGCTCACACTTGAGCGATAACAAATTTCAACACTTACAGAACAAGAATCAAAGCTCACGAATTACATCTAAATATAACATTGAATTGAAGTATGGAGCAAACCAAAACGTTTCATATAAGAACTAGAATAGCTTCTAATTGATTAAATAAATGTTTGGCTTTAAACGTCCTTCGGTCAACATAAATTATGCGTTCCTAAGAGAATGCTTGTTACGGTAGAATATACACCTTAACTCATAAGTATAATAATTCTGGCCAATACGCCAATGCCCAATTATCTAGATTGTCCTAACTTTGGCCCGTAAAAGGGAAGTCGCACGTTCAAATGAAAACCTGTTTGAAATATTTCAATTTATTATTTTAAAGCAAAGAAAACAGCACTTCAAATTGTGTCGATAAAGGCTCTTGACGTAATTTATTGCCGTGTATAAATAGTGTATACCTGACATGTTAAATGCCCTCCTTACTTATAATTATTATTGTTTTATTGTTTTATTGTTATTATCATTATTATTATTATTATTATTAGTAGTATTATTATTATTATATTATTATTATTATTATTATTATTATTAGTAGTATTATTATTATTATTATT